ACCCGTGAGGTGGGATGGATTATCTCGGCAAAGGAGAAGTGCTCACTAACACAGATTTTAGACAGATTTGTGAACAATATTTGTGAGAAAATGTGTGTATAGAAAATGTTTTAGAGCTTTGAGTTCAGCTCATGAAAAATGGGAGCAAAAACAAAAGTGTTGCGTTTATATTTTTGTTCAGTGTGTATATATGTATAAAATATATATATATATATGTATATATGTGTGTGTGTGTGTGTGTGTATATATATATATATATATATATATGTGTATATGTATATGTAAGGGATAATGTCTAATGAGCCGGTGAATACTGGGAAAATACCTCCGGACAGGGGAATGGAACTCTCAAACAAGGGTTTGAGAGTGGCCATTGATTCAGCGGAAGACGCTACAACAGGTGTGTCAGGTGTGTCCTCTATAGGCTTGTAGAGTGAAGTCAGTAGGCTATTTCTCCCCTCTGGTGAACTGAAGAAAAGTAACGGCAGCTATAGCATTTGGGTGTTCGGTAAGAGCGATAAAGCCCTGCTGTAACATCTATTACAGCTGCTGCAGCTAAACAGTGTGAGGTGGGATGGAAAAAGACTGCAGAACGTGTTAACAGGGACCGTCTACAAAGTGCAACACCGAGAAGAGATATAACAAAATTATTCAGTAATGTCAATACTCTGCAGTGTAGTGTCCCCTAACTCACTTCACACATTAATGGTCTCCCGCTGATCATACTACAACACTCAATTTGGGAAAATATGCTTGGACGTCATCTTTGAGTCCAGTATTTAGCTCTTATAATAGGTTCCATGACCCTGATGTGCCCAAGTCCAAATATTAGCACAACAGTATAGCCTAGAGGATGGAAATGTGCACTATTTTGTATTTTCTTTTCATGATTTTTTTTTTTCAGGAAATTTTGTTAAAATTTGTGCTACATTTAGTTGAAAATTTTTTTTATAGGCCTGTGAACTGTAATAAAAGACCAGCTGTTCAGCTGTCTTTGTCTTAATCAATATTGAGAAACAAAGTGTTATAGTGTGATACTGCAACAGTAAGGCTAAATGCAATGTTTGTTTACCCAGGAGAGTCTGATGTGACCGGCAAACATGAAACAGTTGAAGCCAAAGTGAGGGATGACATTGTTCTGCCATGCTACAAAGAGCCCACATACGACCTGAAAGCTGTAAGAGTTGAGTGGACTCACAAGGAAAAAGAAGTGCACCTCTATCGAAAAGGGAAGGATGATCTAGAGCATCAGGACAGGAATTTCACAGGTAGAACATCTCTCTTCCATGAACAAATGGCCGCCGGAAATATTTCACTGAGACTGAGCCAAGTAGATGATCGGGATGTGGGAAATTACATCTGCCTTGTTAAGGTCAAAGACTCACCCGAAGTCAGACAATGCGATATTCTTCTCAGTATCGGTGGGTATTTCTAACCTAAAATGAAAAAAGTGAAAATATATATATGCTACATGTTAAAGGTCCAGTGTGTAGGATCTTTGAGGATACATTGGCAGAAATGGAATATGATATAGTACGTTTCTTTAGTGTTTAATCACCTGAAAATAAGACGTGTTTTCATTGCCTAAGAATGAGCCATTTATATCTACATAGGGAACTGGTCCTCGCTTACAGACACCACCATGTTGCACTGCAATGTTTCTACAGTAGCCCAGGGTGGAAAAACCAAATACTGGGCCATTCATATTTTTGTATTGGCCACCTTAATTGGCAGCTCCTCCACGACAAGAGCATCTGTAAAACACAGATTTTTAAATGTGAAACTGCTTTATTCAGTGTTTTCTTAAGTAACAGAAAAAAAGATGAGCAAACATGAGCAGGTGCGAGGCTACCAACACGTCTCACGCAGAACAGTCTCTGAAAAACACTTGTTCTATGGGTTGAAATCACCTGGTCTGGTCTCTTTTTTTAGAGAAGGAGACCCCTGTGGATAATTCAGCTCCCAATAAACCCCCTCTGAACAATGAACACTGAAGGAACTCTAACCAGTAGAAGTCTCAGCTGGTTGCAGTCTGCAATCCTCACCATCAGATGCCACAAAATCCCCCTAAATCTGACACACTGGACCTATAAATCAGTCCCTCCAGTAAATCGCGATCTTGCGATCGCAATAATTCACGCAAATTCAACTATAGTGTGCAATATTTGCGGGGGCTTGCAATTTTTTCAAAAGTCCTGTGATTTTTCTGCGTTTTTCCACATTTTCCGGCCAACCAGAAGTCGTCACACACGCGGCGTCATTTCCAACGTAATCTGACGGGTCATCAAATACGGCATTGCAGTATGGAGAAACGTTCTTGTACTGACATAAGAATTTGCACACAATATGTGTTGAATTTATTAAAATGTTGTTTACAAAAGATGTAGCTTACATGTTGTTTTACAGTCACATTGTCTGGTTTGAGAGCTACTATATTCACTCAAGATTTTCTGCAACATTATTGGATGTTATGTTTTGAAACTAATTAAATAAAACTAAAGAAGATAACAATAAAAAACATTTTCAGCTATTTTTGTAATATTCAGTATGATGATTATAGCAAGTGATTACATGACTTATTTTTTGGAGGTCGTAGTTTCATTAAAAAATCACATTTTTTTCTCCTTTTGTCATTAGCCCCAATTTTTGTCATTTGCAGCAATTTCCTGCAAAAAATCACATAAAAATGCCACATTTTTTATTGTAATTTTTGACAAAATTGGCCACAAATTCAAGGTTTTTGCTGTAAGATCCTGGAGGGACTGATAAATACACTTTATCTTGTAAACTTGTTACATATTACAATTGAATAGGAAAGAAGAGCAACACATCAGATCAGACAAATCCAGGGAAGTAAATGTCTTGAGTAATGTTAAATTGTATCCCCATTTACTGACACTGGCATAACAGCTGGTCTGTCTTTTTTCCCATATCGCCATTTTTCCCATATTTTTCCACAGTGCCAGTGCCAGAGCCAGAGCCAGAGCCAGAGCGAGAGCGAGAGCGAGAGCCAGAGCCAGAGCCAGAGGCAGGAAAGGGTCACAGTAAGTACCAAGCTCTGTCTTTTATGTCCCCTATGAAATACATGCAGATGGTCAGGTCAGCAACGTCATCTCAAAACTTGTTTCTTCTCAAAGGCATGATATTGATGATTTAACGGTTTTTGCTTGTCTTTGATTTAAAAAGGCTGCAATTAATATCTTTGTAATAATAATGTATGAAATAACAATATGAAAACAATGTGAAACATCTCTGGTAGCGATGAACTTACAGATAATGATCAGCTGACTCGGTAGCTCTCCTCAGCTTTATGCAGCTTTATAGTTAGTTGGTTTAGTTTCAGCAAAAAAAAACTATGAAAATGTGAACATTGCACTTAAGTTATTTAATTATTATTAATTGAAAATGTGTGTATACATATATACATATATAGATAGATACATATACATATATATGCACACAGTTTACCTCAAACATTGCGAGGTGTGGTGTGTGCATGTGTGGGTATGTGTGAGAGAGAAGGAGGGAGACACTGGTGCACTGGTAGAGAGAGATAGTGTGTTATTACTGTTATTGCCACTTGTTATGGTTCTTTGCATTGATAGCTCTTTTTTATTCTGTTTGACCCTCATGCCGACAAGAAGTCCAGTGTAGTTTTTTAATCCACAAAACTCATGCGGGGTATCAGAGGATAACAGCTATCCGGAATAACAGCTACACTCGAAGTGCAGGGCAAGCTAACTGACCACGGTGAGAAATGATGCTATAAAAGTGGAGTAAATTACGTCTTTTCAAGTCAGTTTTGCATGCCGAGGCTTCAGGGCACTTGGATTACGACGGACGGGCCGTTCTGACGTTTTTGAAATGCATTAGTGGAGTTTTATTACATTTTCAAAATGTGGGTTCTATGCACTTCAAGTGTAGCTGTTATTCCAGCTAGCTGTTATCCTCCGATACCCCGAACGAGTTTTGAGGGTTAAAAAACTACACTGGACTTCTTGTCGGCATGAGGGTCACAAAGTACTGTCTGTATTTTCATTCTAAAGTGGCCATTTCCTTTAAGTATGAATTGTGACCTGAAGCAGGAGAAGTGGACGTGAAAAATGGATGGATCTGTGTTATTTTAATCCCACAGTGAAGAACAAATCTTGACATCTTTTCTCTGTTCTTTCAGTAAACTATGCTTACTTTCTTATTGCCATTCCTGTCATTGGAATCACTGTTGCTGTCTATTTGATACAGAGGAGATGTAAAACTACCAGTAAGTTACAAATTTCTCTTCACTTCTTTTTCCCCATTTAAAAGAATAGGCTCACAGTTTTTGTAACAGATTTCTCAGATTTGTCACTGCTGTTAGAAGAAAGACTGGAAAAAATGCAAACCTATAGTTTGGCACTTAAAAGTGTTGCTCAATAAACCACAAGTGGGTCAAATCGAACCCATATTAGAATCAGTAGTTTTTGTTATAATAGCATGCTATATACACCTTATTGCACAAATATATTGAATTATTCAAGATCAGTTATGTTTACTTGTAATTAGAACACATTGTAACACTTACTTTTTTATTTTTCCATAGAAACAGCGGTTCACAGTCAGTAAAGAAAGTACTGTACCCTATCATGTATATGCACATACAACTTCTATGTCATTCATCCCTCGTTCACACAGTTTCTCAGATATGTTCAAATGTAGCAGCTAGGGATGCACGATAACTTTTCTTTTAAACCGATACTGATAACTGATAACTTTCAGCTCCTAAATGCCGATACCGATAACCGATAACACACACACACACACATATATATATATATATAAATATATATATATATATATATATGTATATATGTATACCTAAGATCATGACATCAATACTATGAACAAAACCAAAACCGTTTTGACTCTTTAAATGAAGAGATATTTATTTTTTCCAATGAAACTATTGGCAAGCATCTCAAACATTTTCGAAAAGATATTAAAAAAAAACTATTTGATATCTCAAATAAACATCAATTTAAATAAGGTGTATTACTTACTGATATAAAAATAAAGGCCCGTTGAACTGATGCAAATACATGCATCGGGATTACAAACTGAAAAAGTTAATTCCAGAAGTTCAAAAAAATAAATATATATAGAAAATGATTGCACTGAACAAGTTAGACTTGTCTAAACTGAAAAAGTGCATTCCATAGTAACAAAAAAATACGTTCAAAGGATTTTGGCTTATGGTTCCATTCAAATGAATACCTTTTCCCTAAGGTAAATGAGGTTCAGTTGTTCTTTTATCTCATGTTGAGAGAGAGAGAGAGAGAGAGAGAAAGAGAGACCCACGGTACGATACCAGTGACAGTATCACCCTTCTGAGTAGTATCAGGATACCGCAGATGTGCCTTTTGTCATTTATAAAAAGATAAATCACTTTTCTATAATACATCAATGATATTTCAATGGAATAAATTAATTAATGACTTATTCATACTTCAAAAAAAGCATCAATAAGTGATAAACATAGAGGGGATCAAAATAAAATAAATAAATAAAATAAGAATCAACCAGCCACCCTCCTCCCCTGACAGTCTCTTCATAAGTAAAGAACAGTCCCTTAAGTGCGGTGAGGTTTGTGGATCGTTACCTGCCACAAAGAGAGAAATGTGAACGGCTCGTTTCTCCTCTGACACGCCACATACCTGTGTGCTGCCACGGCTCGGCTGTTCAGGTACTTCTGGGCAGTCATGACACCAACAAGGGGAAATTATTGGACCTGGAGCAGGGCTTCTCCGTCGCCGGTAAGCCGTTATCTTGCGCCACAGAGCACTATGGCCGTCACATTTGACAGAAATACATTCCTGTCTGTGTCTGTGACCCCCGTTCAACCCACAACCTGCAGGATTCGCCTTTCGTTTCTGCTGCTGGTTGAAATCTGTACTCGCACAGAGTGCTCCTGAATGATTTCTTTTGCTCGCACAAAACCATTTTTAGTCGCAAATGCGAGTAAAATGCTCGCACCGTAGAGCTCTGTGGAAAACAAATCACTGTAGCATATAAACAAATCGAACCTACAAGTAAAAAGAAATAAGAAATAACTTTCACTGCTTAAAGATAGGCTACTCAATAGCTCAGCTAATACCTGAAATGTCACTGCAGCAGCATATTGAGTGCCAGGTGGCCAGCACATGCTGTTATTGGACGGTGCATGGACACTCACCCTCTTGCGATTGGACTTTGAACTTATCCCACAGTAGTGGTACCATAGTACTACGGTACTCCAACATTATGGTATCATATGTACTGTGGAGTTTTAGTGCCGCGGTCTACAGTTGGTACCAGTATACCCTGCAACACTAGTGTGAGAGAGAGTGTGCGCGTCTGTGTGTGTGTGTGTGTGTGTGTGTGTGTGTGTGTGTGAGTGAAAGAGAGAGAGTGTGCGTGTCTGTGTGAAATTATGACCAAGTTAACGAGTTGTTTTCCGACATGAGGGGGTATTCTTGAATTTTCCCAGTCAGAAAGAGTTTTTCTGATTATGCCAACGTCACTTGAACGCAGCATTCACTGCAGGCCATTCAGGTCTCATAGTGGGAGCGGGGCTCGGACTTATTGGAATGACGTAATAATTTCCTGTTATCGGCCCGATAATTATCGTGCACCCCTAGTAGCAGCCATGTCAACACTTCATATAAAGAAATACAGAAGGGAGAAGAAGAAAAATAGATGATGATAGACATACCTGTAAAGGTTTGTGCATCTTTGCAAATATTTGGTTTTACAAACCTGGTCTTGTAGTAATTACACTCACAGGGCTCATTAGGCAACTGCTATTGCTGGCTAATGCTAGTCAGTCTCAATAGCTGCTCCATTTTCTCTCTTTTGTTCTGTTAATTTCCTCCTGGTATTTTTTCCATAACAGTTATTTGAGGTAAGTTACAGTCAGTTAGCAAAATTGTCAGCTAAACTTTAACCTAAGCCTAATCTCTAACCTGTTTTGTGTCATATAGGAGGCCTGTAAATCCATACAGGAGAGGACGAACCGGCCAAACAACCAAGGAAAAGAACAAGGACAATCCCAACACAATCTGACAATCTGAGTCTGACAACATGGGCTATATGATACAGTGTTACTAGTACTTACTAGTACGTAGTAGTATAGCTTTTGGTTCTTGGACCCAGCTACCAATCTCAAAACCTACTGGCCAGCACTTTGAAAGTAATAAGTTTCTGGGGGAAACGACTAATACTGGAAGTGGATATCCAGGCCAAAACTCCATATTTGTGTTCATTTCTCATCTTTAAAAAGACAAACAATTATATACTGTGGACCTCAATACATCTCAGACTTGGCCTATAAATAGAAACTTGAACACTTCCAATACCAATATTTTCTATCATGTGCCTCCAGTAGAACAAAACACTAGCTATAAGTCATTTGGATCTAGATTTCTTCATATGGCAATAATTGTATATTGTAGAAAATTATGTGGTAGGTAGTCATCTGGATTTTCTGGATTGATGACAAATTCTAGCTTGGAAATCCAGACTCAAATGTAGAAAGAAAGAAAGAAGTGCAAATTATAATTTTCTAGGGGCGGGGCATCTGTATTTCCAGGTTAGACAAATTCACCTTCAAGCTGCATATTGATGCACTGACAAAAAAATTACAAATTAAGCTTTGTATAGAAACAAGTCTCGTTTCCCTCCATCATGTAGAAAGAAGATTGTGGAAGCAATATTTGTTTCAGTGCTAGACTATGGTGACGTAATTTATCGCCATGCAGCAGCCTCCACCATTCAGCCCTTAGATTTATAACCGTAGACAGCCATAGCACTCATCATTGTCTTCTTTATCAGAGAATGGGTTGGCCTTCTCTGTCTATTACAAGGGACCAGCATTTGTTTTTATTTATTGTGCACCACACCTGGAACAAATTGCAGTGCACTTTGAAACTTGATAGTCTTGTTATAACAGGTCATTCCAGATTAGAGTTTAGATTCTCTGCCCGAGCCCAAACCTGATCTGGATCCATGACAGCAAAAAGACGGGGACCTCGACACTCTAAATGTATATTATTGCACTGTATCGTGCTTTTGAAATTGTTTATTTTATGCTGTTATTTATGTACCCCAATCTCTCTTCGAAAATGAAAGGGTAAATAAAGGGTTTACCAGCTCAGTGTCCTAGTGGTAGAGTGTCTGCCCTGAGACTGGGAGGTCGTGGGTTAGATCCCCGGCCGGATCATACCAAAGACTAAAAGAATGGGACCCATTGCCTCCCTGCTTGGCACTCAGCATCTAGGGTTGGAATTTGGGGGGTTAGATCACCACATGATTCCCGAGCGCGGCACCGCTGCTGCTCACAGCTCCCTCAGGGGATGGGTCAAATGCAGAGAACAAATTTCACACATTCAGGTGTGTGACAATCAGTGGGACTTTAACTTTTAATGATAACCAGCGGTGGAGGCAATAGCATCACCAAAGGGCCCACCCTCCAGTTCCCCTCCTTGTTAACACCATGTTGTTAGTGCTGTTCACACTGTTAGCACTTTTAGCTGCTAGCTGCCAGCGTGGCCACACTGATACTGAGAGCCGCGTGCAGGCATCTTAATCGGAATCTGAATGTCGTACACAGCTCCTTTTAAAATATTGTTTTTAACGGAGTTCTGGTGTTAAAATGTCAGCAATGACAAGCACAATTTTTCTTATGCTTATCTAAAAAAGGTACCTGAATGCGAAATTTTTCCTTCACTGGATACAAGGGATAGCAGGCGTTCTCCTGTTTGCTCTCATGATGGTGCTGTTGTCTGTCTTGTGTGAATCCACAAAGGTACATATTAGCTCACTGTCACAGTGATGTGATGGGTGTCAGGTTTCATAGGAACATAATTAATTATTAATATGTAAATTTTGATAACAACGGTTCTATTAATGTGTGTTCTATGTATGGGGAACAATATGATGTAAAGTGTAACAGTGCAAAAATTGTTATTATGATCTGCAGAACTAAGGAAGATAAATATATGGCGTTTCCTGACTTTAAACCGGCAGGTAATGTTCTGAATATCTGCAGTGTAGTTAAATACCTTGGACACGAGCTGACAGATGACGAGGACATTTATCGTCAGTGTCGTATGTTGTATGTGCAAGCATTGTATTGTCACGTAAATTCAGTTGTTGCACTGATGGAGTAAAGCTGACTCTGTTTAAAGCATATTGCTTTCCTTTGTACACTGCAAGTGGCATATAATGACGCTCTGAGATTAGTGCTAAAAAGGCCCAGATGGACCAGCGCTACTGACATGTTTGTGACTGCTCGAGTAAACACTCTGGAATCTGACAAACATTGTGTACAGTGCCACACGCTGCTTGTCTCATATTTGGGAGCACTGGTATAAGTGCCTTTTAAAAATAGGTCACTAGACTATTTTTTTTATTGTTTGTTTATCTATCTATCTATCTATCTATCTATCTATCTATCTATCTGTCTGTCTATCTAGTTGTAATGACCCCAAGCATGTGACCATGAGTATTTACTGCACTGGAGCCGTATGTGGACGTGGAAGGTCCATGACCAAAACATCAAAATGTAACAAGGTTGGAGTGAGAATGTGTTGACTATGCTGGCTGATTTGAATTTAGACTGTGCTTATCTATGAGAGATTACAGCAGGTTATATATGTAAGATACATAGTTTCAACAGATAAATATATTGAAAGGTTATGACCTCTGTGAAATAACTTAAGTGCCAACTTTTCATCCAGTATTTCCAGCGAGACTTAAAAATGATGTGCCTGTTATACTCTTGAGTGCTGGAATCTTTGACATGAGAGCAGTGATTTTGTAAATTTTTTTATTAAAACGCACTTGCAGGGACATTGTTCATAAGTGTGGCTTGTGATGCATTGTTACCATCATTTTATAAATCTTTGTCATTGTCTGAGGTCCTGCCCTTGATGGGATTGAACCTGTGCAGTAGAACCATCTCAGTAACACTTTTTAACCTCTTAATCCCCTATGACATGTTATACTCACTGAACAGAACGTCTTTAAATGTCTTTAAAGATTAATTATTTTAAGCTGGCATTCCAACAAAGTTGCTGTATGTGTGTGTGTAATATAAAGTATTAATGCAAGTGTTGATGCACTTACTACATTATTTTAGTATTTTACCACTAAATGGGTTTTTATTTTTATTTCTTCTTGCACTCCTCTGTTTTCAGCACTATACAGTCTGTACAATGTGTTATGACACCAGAACTTGAACTTGTAATAAAAAGATTATGTTTTTAATAAACTCCAATGTTTCCCTCCTCATTAAATGGCAAGCCCTTTACTTTAAAGCATTAAAACATTTCAAGACAGAACACATTTGCATTCTGGCCCTTAAAAGTCAATTTACCAAAAAATTTTCTTTTTGGTTTCGATGTTGCCAATTTGTTTTTTGTGATTTCTAACAATAAGCCACTGCACCATGATTACCCATTTACCTCAAACTGCATAGCAACACAACAATATATACCAAGAAAGTTCAAGAAGCTGTGTGATTGATGATAATTATTAGCAGTTTCTTAATACATATTTCAGCTCATTGGCATCTCAATGTTAACTTTAAATCATGACTTCTTTTTTCCATTGTTTGGTCTTTGCCTCACTCATGCCTTAAAATGAAGCCTATATATGTATAGCAGTTTTCTACATGCATGTTTAAAGAGATATTTAGAACATCAACATGGGGGGCAATGCAGAATAGCAAATAAAAAACATCTTTGAGGCTCGACAAATCACTTTCCTTCAGCAAATTACCTTCATTTTTCAGTTTTTGAAACCTGTGTAGTTTACATTTATGTATACACCTTTTTTCATGCTGTTGTTGGCAAGTTGTTTAGTTTCCTTAATAATTGGCAATTTTTACTAAACGCATTAAAACAAACAAAATAGGGACCCAGTCATAAAACTCATAGACTGTAAAAATAAAGGACGTAGCTAATGTTTGTGGGCTCCTGTTTGGAAGCATGGAGTTTGGCATTTTGGCTGTCACCATCTTGGTTTTTTGGAGCCAGAAGTGGCCATATTTGGACAAAAGGTTGGAGCTGTGGAAGAGTGAGGGGTGGATCTGACTAGGCTGAGGACACATCAGCAGACAGCGTGTCAATCAAAGCAGCTGTGGTTATATCAACCCCCTGTGGTTATATCATGTGTGGCATTCAACTTGAATGCTTAAAATCTGTAGCCTTTATTTTTTTCAGATAAGGCGCTGTAGAGCTGCTACAAAGTCCCCTCTTTATGCCCTCTACATTTTTACACAGAACCCAGCAACAAGGGGATGATGCCGCTCCAGGCTATGTTTACACAAAAACGATCCGCTGAAAACATAATTGTTTCTCATTTTCGTTTTGAAAAAAGTCCCGCGTTCAGACGACGTTTTGATAACAATCCCTGTGCAGTATACATGCCAGGTCTGTAGCTGGTTGATAAATTCAACAGGGTGAGCAGCACAAACAGAGCTCGGGAGTCTGCCATTGTTGTTGTGATGGTTGACATTCTCGTGCATGCCTAGTGACTGGAACCGTAATGCGCATGTGCGAAAAGTCTCCGTTTTCAAAGGAACTGCATATTGCAAGTTTACACGACAAAGGAGACGGTGCCTTTTCCAAAAAATTGCACTCTGGAGCCTGTTTTCAAAACGTTGCATTTTCAGGCACCCAAAACGCCACTGTCGTGTAAACGATCAGCCAAAACTCAACTAAAATTTACCGTTTTCAGTTGAAATCATTGTCGTATAAACAGGACCCCAGTGTGTGATGATACACTGCATTGCTGCTTTGCGGAAACAAAAGAGGCCTGATAGGCGTGACGTGTAACACGTGTCAGCAACACTTTATGGCATTAACATGTCAATAAAAATCATTTACCATCTCTGTTATATGGTGGCTGATCTTGTCCACTGCTCGGAGGGTAAGGAGCTCCCGGACTTCATTGTTTTCCCAATTTGTAGGCATTCTCGGCAGCTGTTCTTCTTCCGAGTTAGCCGCTCACTACCAACAGCTACTATCTTCCGTGGTGGGTTGCATGCATATCAGATTGTCAAAATGTCACACCTGTGACACCCATGATCCCGTCCTGCTCACTGCCCTGTTTATACAGACATCGTTTTGCCGCTGTGACTACCTCCCATGGCGTAATAAAGGCGAGACAACTCTGTGTCCCCATTCCACAGTCAAATTTTTCTTTGACAAGATGAGATGTGACGAAAATGTTAGTGGTGGACTATCAGACATTGAAAGCCAAGAACAGCTGTGCTTGTAATTATTTTCATATGCTGCAATGAGTGACAGGCTGGTTAACTCCAATTAATAGTCTGCACCAGGATGTCTCACTAGCCGCTGAACGGCAGCTGAGCAAGCAGCCACCAGCTTGATATATTTTACAAACAAAGCATATGATGAACTTATAAAACATGATGCATTTTTGCCATGTTTTATAAGATCATGTATTTTATGTGTAAAATCTTAATCTGAAAAGTAACTTAAACTTTCACAGATAAATGAAGTGCAGTAAAAAGTGCAGCATGTACTAATGAGATGTGGTGGTGTAGAAGTATAAAGTTGCATAAAATGGAAATACTCAAAGTACAAGTAGCTCAAACTTGTACTTATTTACAGCACCTGATTAAAAGTACTTAGTCACATTCCACTTCTGTTATTCTTTACTAAATTAGCTGAGGCTTATATTTCTTTTTCAAAGTGTAATGTTTCAAAAGGGTGAAGTGTTTTAATCCCTCGTGGAATAATTCCCCTTGTTATATTATAATCCCTGACCCTTGTGTTGTCACATTGAAACAGGAAAGCATTTTGATTTCCCTTCACTGTAACCAGGGAAACAGCACCAGACCCTCATTCCTCCTCTACAAACTTTCACAGATATTACTATGTATTCAACAGGTATGTTTACTGCAGAGTTTATCAACACTTTGTGGCCTTCTGAGCATATTTTTAAGACTCCTAAGGGGATTACACAAAAAACGGTGACATATTCCAGTGTAATTTTGTTGATATAAAAAATGCATACATCAAATATCAATACATAAAGTCTTAGGTACTGTTTCCAGCCTTGGATATAGATATTTACACTCAGAACTCCATCAGATGTGTGTAGGGTCCGTTGGTGTCGAGCTTCAGCACTTGTCTGTTTCCATACGTCCCGTGTTTCACCGTCACTTCAGCTGAAGCAGCCGTCAGTTCCTTCTCACACAGAGAAATGAAGTCTCCGTAGAGCCGCAGTCCGTCCTCTTTGCTGATGTTGTTGTGGTATTGCATGGCCCTGCCTTTGGCCTTCCCGCCCAGCGTGGCCTGGGGGACAATCAGCACACTGCCGGGAAGCTCCAGCACTGACACCATCTTCCCTGAGTCGGACTCACAAAGAAGCAGGTTCAACAGTGTGGACACTGGAGGAGAGAGAAGGGAGGACACAATATTTACACCCCATACTGAGGGATTTACAGGAAGTGCAGAGCTGGATGGAGCCAGAAGAAGATAAAAGAAGAAGAAGATATACTTCATACACACAGGCCCAAAATACACACACAAGCACAAACATATGTAATATGTAGGTCAAAAGATAAAAAGGTCACTGACCCATTTTGGGCAGGATGTCGTCTGTGGCTCCTTTAAAGAAGCAGATGTAGATCACCATCCCTCTGTCAATCTGAAAACACAAAGTGTCATCAGTTATGTGGACCAATCAGCAGCCGGTGTATTGCTTTCAATTAGAAATCCAGTCCTGTTTCAGTGTAACATGCTGTAATTTGTCCCCCTCTGGTTTGTTATGTCACTGACACACTATTTTATCTCTCTGTTCCAAATTCTAATAACCAGAGGAGTCAACTTGAGTCACATGATTTGGGAGTCAGACTTGATACAGAGAGATATAAAAGATCTGCAACTTGACTTGGACTTCAACACCAGTGACTTGTGACTTTACTTGGATGTGAGCCTTTTGACTTGAAAATACTTGAAATCTTCCACCAAGCCCAAAGATTAAAAAGTCTGTTGTATGATTTCCTGATTCAACTAATGTGAAATTATTATTATTTTTTTCATTGTGACCTAAAACATTAAACATGCAACAACATTACTTCAAGGAAGAAGAGTCTTGTTTGCTTGTTTTACAAATTTGATAAGAGAAAGTTATGGACATTTTTCCAACAGGAGATGCAGATGGACACACTGAGATGAGATGTTCAGGTGTTCTCACCTGGACAAACTGAGCCTCTGAGTTTTCCTCTGCTGGCTTCACCTGCAGTCTGGCCTGCAGACACTGCTGCAGCAGCACCCGGGCCACAGGAGCACTGCCTTTCTCCGCCATCTGAGTTTATCCTCTTTACTGGTTTAATAAAGTCTGTCCTCTTTATAAACGGTGGTGCAGGAGGAACCGGTTCAATCCTAACATAAAAAATAGAACTATACCGACTTAGAAAGTGACGGAAATGTTCAATGAATGGCAAAGACAAATCACAAGAAAACTCATGCAACACACTTCCGGACTAACGTCAACCAAAGTTGCCCAAAGGTGCTCAAAGCTGCGCATTATTTCCGCAGGCACTTTCTCTCATTATCTCCGTTTTTGCTAATTTTAATAATCATTGTGTGCATTTTTTTTCTCCAAATCATATTTTTGTAAGAAATAAAAATATAATATTTTCAAATTTACAGAGGCAAAAAGGAAACAAAATTTTAAGTAAAAAAAAAGCAAAACAAAATGAATTAAATTAAAAATTAAATTGAATGAATTTGAATTCAAATCAAATAAAAGAATAAATGTGGTTGAAGTAAATAAATAATAAAAGTAAAGACACCATACACAAAAAAACGATATTTTATTTGTAAAATAATGATAAAATAAACAAACAAAGTAATTCTGGGATTTCCACTGGCAAAATATATCCATGTATTTTAAAAAATAGATATTCAAGAGACAACTAAAACGGTGACTTAAAACTTTCAAACATAACTTAAAATTATGTTTTAATGCCTTTTACCCAGTAAAAATGACACATCTAATTATCACCAGATGATGGACTGATTTTTCTAAATCAAATCAAATTTAAAAAAAACCCCAAAGTGCTCTATAATAAAATAGAATAAGTAAAATAACATAACACGGCAACAGCAAAATGTAAGAGAAATTACATAACAATCCAAAAACATGCACAAATAAACGAGTAGAAAATAAAATAAAAATAAAATATGAAAGACAGTATGAAGTTAAGTAAATGCCCTTTTATGATACAGTAAATTACCACACCAGTTACAGCCAGAAAAATAAAAACTACATCTTTTTAGAGAAGGAAAGTAAACTACAGAAAACAAAACGCATGCGCATGCGTACTTTGCGCAAGCTTGACGCGCACCAAGCTAACGATCAGAGGAGCATCCAAACAGCTAAACATGGCTCAGCTCACTTACAGCAGACTGTCGCATTTACTGAGAATATCCGTTAATAAACACTCAGTGTTACGAACCGGGACAGAAATAAAACCGGGACCTGCGTGTTGTGTTCAGTTCGCACGCTGCCACGTAAGAATACTGCCTGTTCCTTTGAATTTCAGTTAGCTGAAACAGCTAACAGCTGCATGCTAACGTCAAGGTAGCTAGAAATCTAGAAGAAGAAGAAGACCGGAAGTACTTAAAAAATAAAAGCGGTAACGGTCAAACAAATATATTTAAAAGAGAAACGTCATTAAATGTTAACATATTGTGTTTTTATGTTATTATTTGTTGTTATTCACACATGAAATATAGGGTGCATATACTTTCGCTTTGATTCATACATTCATTTGAACGCTAAGGATATTGTTTTGAAACCCGAAATACGGAAGCGGTTTTACTTGAACACAGTGCTGCTCAAATACTGTTATTAAACCAACAGCTTGTTTTATAAGTCGGTCTAACAGGGTTTCAATGAGCTTTTGCCTACATCAATGGGCAATAATAGTAGTAACACTGGAGACAGTTATATTGTAACCAATCAGTGGTACATAAATAATTTATTTATGCTTTATAGATCAATAATAAGCCATGTTGGTAAATATTAGTACATCAAAGAGTATCCTCACTTTTTCTCAAGCCTGCAGTTATAAATAAAGTAGTCTGTCAAGTTCATAATCATAAATGTTAATGAAATAGATTAATAAATGGATTCTGGTCCAGGTGCTGGAGCTAAGCAAAGAGATTTTTCACAACTTGGCAGCCCAAAAGTTGTTATAAATGGCCTTTACGTAATCTATAAAGCATTAGCAAATGATTGTAATAAAATGAGAAAATAAACGTTTAAACACTGTATAAAAGACGACTAATTACAGTAGAAAGCGGTGGTGTCAGATCTAGGGATGTACAATAACATCAGATCAGCACATCAACGGTATTGGCCAATGAATTTAAAGGATCAAGAGTAAAAAAGTCTCTAAGTAACCCAGTCTGGAATGGACACCAGTATTTTGAAGTCACAGCTTTCTAACCTTCACATTGTTTTCATTGTGTACCTGTTGTGTTCCTGTTTTTCACAGAGGTCAGTGGACAGTAAGACACTACAGGAGAGGCAGAAGCAGCAGATGGCGAAAGGTCTTCCCAAACAGAAGCCCATCACGGGGGTCAAACAGGTCATCGTTGTGGCTTCAGGGAAAGGTGGCGTGGGCAAATCAACCACTGCAGGTACAGCATGAATTTCTTGCTCTTGTAGCATTTATATCCTTTATAGCTATTGCATCCAAAGCTTTAGGGTTCTGTATGGATATTTTGGATTTATTAATCTTTAAACACTGGCTGGAAGTGCAGCATTGATTCTCAGTGACGTGCATCTGGAGGAAACAGACAAAAAAACAGAAAAACTTTTCAACCAGCCTGTTGACTTTGTTTTTCTGCGTCTGTCTCTGCAGTGAATTTAGCTCTTGGATTGATGGCGAACGATCCGGTAAGAAGTTTTCTCACTTATATCACATTCGTTTTTTGTCCTCTTCTTTTACATTATAGCCAGTCACTTATTTTAAACCAAACAGGCAGTGTACACAAATGTACTGACAATGTCCACAGTTTGTCTTCCTTCTAAATTTTGAACTCTGTTAAAATGATTTAAGTTCATCTTTGCTCTTTCTCTCAGCTCAAATCAGTTGGTCTGCTGGATGCTGACGTTCACGGCCCCTCGATTCCCAAACTGATGAACCTGAAGGGAAACCCGGAGCTCAGCAACAGTACGGCACAGTGTTTATCTTTCTCTATAGAATAAATGTCACCTGATCATTGATTTTTAATGTAGTTGTATACGGTAGTTATATTCTGTAAAGGACTTAGAGGCTGTATGGAGCCTCTGTGACTGTAAACTGACTTCAGGTGTTTTTAATCTTTCCTCCAGACAATCTGATGATCCCTCTCACCAACTACGGGGTTCCTTGGTGAGTCCCTTCAGTCAAACCGTTATGTCATCATGTCTCCCCCTCTCTCTTCAGCTCTCACCTGTCTTTTTTAACCTCTCTCTCAGCATGTCGATGGGGTTCCTGGTGGACGAAGTCGCTCCGATCGTGTGGAGGGGGCTGATGGTGATGTCAGCGTTAGAGAAACTGCTCAGACAGGTGAGAACGTTACAAACACCCAGCTGAGATTTGACAACGAAACAGGATTTAATGCTAATAGATTGAGGTGTGTGTTTGATCGTAGGTGCACTGGGGGTCATTGGACTATCTGGTAGTCGACATGCCTCCTGGGACAGGAGACGTCCAGCTGTCTATCTCACAGAACATTCCAGTCTCAGGTCAGTCACACACACAGAGCTACAGTATACCTGTACCAGCCCTACTTGCATTACCATAGTCCCTTGTAAAGTAGGTCGCTGTTCAGCTAGCAAAATTTATTTATTTATGTGTTTACGTTTGGTCAGACAAAGATACAAATGCTCAGTTTTAAAGTGAAGTCGTGTTGTGTGTCTGTTTTATTTTGCAGGTGCGGTCATTGTGTCAACGCCGCAGGACATCGCTCTCCTCGACGCTCGCAGAGGAGCCGAGATGTTCAAGAAAGTTAACGTGCCGGTAATCTGTGAATTTGTGTGTGTTATTAACAGCTGGTCAAAAATCTGATAAGTGAAATTAAAATTCAACAAATCTGATTTATTCTTCTACAGTTACAGGAGGTTAATGTTGTGTTCAATGTTCCTGCAGGTTCTCGGTCTGGTGCAGAACATGAGTGTCTTCCAGTGTCCCAAGTGTAACCACCAGACTCACATCTTCGGCTCTGATGGGGCCCGACAGCTCGCTGACACTCTGGGAGTCAATTTCTTAGGTATGTCGGAGAACCAGTGAGTGCACCAGCTGCTCATTTAAAAGTCTCTGTAGATGATTTTCTTGATTGTATATACGTTTCATTAAATATTTCCAGCAAATAACAAATCAGGAAATAAAAACTCGTACTTTAATGTCCTGTTTAACTGGTTGAAATATGTATTTTTGATCATTTTGATGGATTTCCCCTGTAATGTCATATTTATTATCTCCAGGTGACATTCCTCTTCATCTCAACATCAGAGAGATGTCAGACAGAGGAACACCAGTGGTCGTCTCCTCTCCTGACAGCCCAGAGGTCCTTGTTCTGTTCTGTCCTAATCATCATAGCTTCATTTTTCATTTTTGTTTTCATGAAAAAACCCCATGTATTTTTATTTACTGAGTGCTGTGTGTGTGTTTACTCTCTAGGCGGAGGCGTACAGGAAGGTGGCGTCTGCTGTGGTCCAAAGGCTTGAGGAAGTCAACACTTGATTGACAGCTTCAACAGGAATTAAGGCACATGAAGACACTCCATGTCACGCACACTGCACATGGGAACTTGCAGAACAAACAACGTACTGTACATGTGACACACTTTTATGTAAGCATACAAAACACACGCAAACAGAGACGCACAGAATTCTTCACTGTCATAACGAACAATAAGTTACATCCAAAGCACTACTGTATGCTGTGTGTTAGTGCCACAGTGTTACTGAATAAATGTGAATCATTTAGCTGTCAGGTGATATTTAATAAAACTCAGCTAAAGTCTGTTTAGAATTTTATGAATATTACATTTTAAAAATATGTAAAGGTGCAGAGCCTGGGCAAAGATAGCTGATTGTTCAGTCTTATTCCAGATCGTCAAATACTGACGACCTGGGAATGAATAACAGACTTATTCCAGAATTGCATCCTGCATCTTTAAAATAACTGCATGTTGGTGGTCCCCAGTACCACTCAGTACGCTTACATGACATCAGAGACTAAAACCAGACTTTTAAGATACACGTAAACATGTCAGTCTGACTGAAATTGTACTAAATCGAATTTCTTAAAGTCGCACTAACACAGGCAGATAATGTGAAGATGGAAGATGCTCCACACTTTCTGCCCCGGGCTTCAAATAGCATTAAATGCGTAACAGAAAAAGATCCCAGGAAGTCTATATCCAGAACTGTGCATTTTTGGACGGACAAAATGTACAGAGCTGTAAAGTTGTCCACCATGGTACCAGTTTGCTGCTGGCTAACTGTAGCTAACTTGTTTGTCCATTGTTTGGACTGTGATGTAGTAGGTCAGCCTATACTAACAAGAAAGTGAAAAGTCGGCATATCGCTACCTATCGTTGCAAAGTCGGACATACTTCAGTCAATTAATCAATCCCCCCGTACGGGACAGGGACAGTAGTCCAATTAAATGGCCTCGTCAAGCTGTAAGCGTAGCTCAACTTAACTGTGCATGTAAACGTACTGAGTGAGAAGTTACAGAGTTCCACTGCAGTCTAAATAAATACCAATAAAATAATAAAAAACTAACGGGGGTAACAACGTCATATTGCTGCATTCTGGATTTGACTCTTTTCCAAAGTTGGGATTTAAGCTGTTTTATACTTAAATCTTTCTTTGGTCCTGCTTTGATATTTTTGTCAGCTCAAGATCTAACTCTCTGTGTCATAATTAACATGCTTATTTATCAATAAATGGCATTTTGGTCAAATAAAAATCCTGTTCCACACTCCTTTAAGAAAACTATTTTTAAACCATGACAACTGTGGGCTCTACAAACTTATCACTATGTCATGTGTGTGTATAATGTGCAATTTATATATCCTTTTTTCTCAGATCAGTAAGAATCTAGATGAATAAGATGTGAATTTTGCTTTATTCTGTTCTGTTTATTGGTTTCTCAAATGATTTAAATAAACGTGTCCCTGCTCATTGTATACAACACTAAAATATAAATCTATTACTGTGCATAAAATGTTTAAGAAAGTTACATGAATACAGTTAAATATGCCTGATGATGGAACTTTAATTTTGGTTTGTGTTGTGTGATGTGGAGCAGATGGATCCAGATATAGGAGACTGCAGGCAACAGGAACTTGATCAATCTTTTTATTCAAGGTTTGAACAGAAAAATAGTAAAACTGATGATCACATTACAAAAACAATTATAGCTGCTGTGCAGCGATGGGTCGGGTCCGGGCATTTTTAGGCAATTCTGAGCAACAAGCAGAAGAATTGGAAGACATTTAGGAACTTAGCAACACAATCTGCCTTTTGCATCAGCTGAGGCTTGAACTCACAACCTCTGAGACTAAGGATCAATCTCTATCTTACTGAGCTAATTAGTCAGTGACAATTCATGTGTAGCTTCACAGATTGACTAAGCCAGACATGCAGGTTTAGCAGCCGTCCATGCATGGAAAAGCAGATTTCAAACCACTGTAAAAAATTCAGTTATCGAAACAAAAACCTGAAAATACACATATTGCATCTAGACAGCATGGAGATGTTGGTTATTTGTTTGTAACAATGATTGATTTGCTCCATAAGTGAAAAACTGATGTTTAAAATTGCCATTTTTACATTGACTCCAATTGTTCACATCAGAGCAAAATTCAAAATGCTGTCAAAAATTCAGTTTTTGAGATAAAATTCTGAAATTTGCCACATATCATCTACCATGACTCTAGAATTTTGTCTTTTTTTCATGAACGTTGAAGATTTATTTAGCAAGAATTTGCATGTATATGTTTACAGTACCGTTTACAGTCAAACATTTTGATGCACTGTAGGCTCAATTTTTGATAAATCAAAAATCTGAGAAACATAGTTTTTGTAGGACAGTCTGAAGATGCTCTGTAGCAAGTTTGGTGTCAATTGAGCAAAAATTGTGGGAGGAGATAGGTTTAAGAAGTTTTACAGTTTTTGAAAAAAACAGAGTGATGAACTTCATAATTTTTAATAGGTTTAAATGTACAAAAGTTTCTTCAGTATTGGGGCTACAGTTTGATGAAAGTTGTGAAGTTGTAGCACGTATGGTTGATTTGTTATGAATTTTCAAAGTTTTGAACTTTAGACGCTTGCTGTAGCGCCACCATCAGGACTATTGGCTTGAGTTTACAGCTGAGGATATCTGGCATGAGACTGGACCTTTGTGCAAAGTTTGGTGAGTTTTCACCCATGGGAAGTATGATTTCCTCACAAGAAGAAGAAGAAGAATACCCAGGATTACAATAGTGTCCAGGCAGCTTAGCTGCCTGGACCCTAATGATCCAGTGAAGACTGAGTTGAAACTAATCTGATGAGGGGGCTGTAGTGCAGGTGGAGAAAAGGCTGGAGAAGCTCAGGTGAGGTGGAAAAGGGGAGCTGGCTGGCTGGGAAAAACTGTAGCAGTGAAGGACTAACGAGGCTGATTCAGGGCAGGTGTGTCGATGGGCAAATGAGGGGAAAGAAACCACAGAAAAAGCACAGTAAACAGAAACCCAGAAAACAAAGAAATGCGAACTACAGGCAACTGAAATTATTTTATAGTCTATGACAGATACAGCTCAGTCCAGTCTTCCCCAAACACTCCCGGTGTTTCTGGTTTTGTTTCGCTTCTGTGTCTTCTTTGCAGCGATTTGGAAACTGTTAATAAAATCTGTTTTATTAATGAGAACACACTGGTCACTAGGGAGTCATCTTTTTTGATAAGCATACATAGAGTTTTTGTGAATGAGGCAAAGTGAGATCCCTGCTGAAAATAACCTGAATGATCCTTTAATGTTGGAGGGCGTCAATGCACTGCGCACTGCCACAGACAAACAGCAGAGGGCGCTTGTTGCATATTGAATAAAAAAATGTGACTGCAACATATAATATCTAATTTTCTTTCTTTCATTTGAACCTGAATGTGTTCACTCTGAGAAATCTGTGTCACAGACACTTTCATGTTACATTTTCAGTTTTAGGATAAATCAGTTACACCGCGTTTTTAGGCTCTAACACTAGTGGATGGCGTGATACCTGCTGAGCTGCAGAGCTCTCTTTTTGGTTGGTTTCTGTTGCCGCATGAGATCCCATAATGCTCTTCAAATAAGGACAAAAACTATTGGACTCAATTTACATGACAGCATAATGAATCATGGGAATTTAGGTGCTGACAAACAGTTCCATGGGCCACACTCTGTTTGTGTTTGTTTATTGCTGACATATTAAACCATAAAGTGTGGAAGGATCTGGTTTTATTTTCTTACTGAAACTATTTATTCATGTTTTTTGTCCTTTTATTTGGCACCAGACTGTAAACCTCTTTGTTTTGATCAGGACAGAGTCACATGGCGAGAGAGGAGTCATCAAGGAGTCATCAGGTCACAACACAAGTTTTCTTCACACAGTCTTTGCCAGAAACTGTTGACCGCAGCTGTGAAGTGTCTCACTGTGTCGGCGCAGAAAAACCCCCGTATACTGGAAACACACACACACACACACACACACACACACACACAAAGAAGACATTTAACTGCAGCATATAAAATTATTGAAATAACTGTGCCTCTATCTGAAGATTTACTGCATCTCTGACGTTATGAAAAAAGGTTTATGAAAGGTCTAATGTCACATTTCATTGTTGTTATAATGTCAAAGTTCAACTCTAAGTATCAAAGGATCAAAACTCTCAAATCTGAGAAAGTTAACAGGAATTAAAAGCAGAAGGGAGGGTTTCTCTGGAAAGGTGATAGCAGTGAGAGGACAATGACTCATCTGTCTCCATCTTTTGTGTTTTTATGCTCAAGCACACACACACACACACTCAAACATGGATGAAATCAGTGCTTTCTCATGATGAAATATTAAATTCAAAGATAAGAGATTTTCCCAAAAGTCAAGCTGAACTTTTGGTTTCACAAAACAAACACACACCCACTGTCTTCTCAACCACTGCCTCTAAACTTTCCACCAAAGTCACTTTATTAGTAAAGCTGAATGAAAAAATAGATCACACACATCTGCAGAATCAGGGTTTGGTTTTACACACAGAGCACACACAGGTCTTTATTTTCTCAAACTGTAAAGTCATAATCCTTTAGATTTATTTTCATTACAAAAACATTTTGATTTATGGCTCATATTGTTTCATCAGTAGCCATTTGATGAATTTGCATTCTAGAAACGGCCTCTCTGTAAAGTGGTTGTCATTGTTTCTGGTGGAGCCTGCGCTTTCTGAATAGGAGTTAGATTACACACCCACGCACAAGGGATTCACAGGGAACTACAGCATGCATATCACATAATGTGGAGGACAACATTCAGTCGTCTTTATTAAAACAGCGCAGTGATGAATCCTCTCTGCCCACAGCTTGTTTGGGTCCGCTTTGAACACATACACCAGTTTAAAATCAGTCCAGCCGCCAGAAGAAAATATTGGCATTGTAGGTTTCTGCAAACCACAGATACACTACAGTTGCAGGCTATGTTTTATACGTATCATATCAGTGTCTCTAAAGTGATGTAGTATATGAGCTGATATTCTTGTCTTGAGGCAGAGGGGATGGTGGATGGCGTGACACCTAGGGGAGACGCCTGCCAAGCTGCAGAGCTCTGATCAAGACCAACAAACAACACAACAGGTTGTGATTTAGTGAGTCATTGCTGTGTTTCCAGAAGTTTTTAGTCACCAAACATGTGTGTTTTGTCATGAGCTGTCACTGCGTTTCCAGCTGGGATAGTGCCACGAAAAGGGGTGGTGTTTTACCAAGACATAGCTGCGTTTCCTAACAGTATAGTGCCATAAAAAGTGCCTGTTTTTTATTTTTTTTTTTACAGAGACACCATTGCATTTTCTGCTGGGATAGTGTCACAAAAAGAGGCTGTATTCTACTCAGACATCACTGCGTTTTCTGCTGGGATAGTGCCAAGAAAAGCAGCTATTTTTTACCAAGACATCACTGTGTTTTTGGCTGGGGTAGTGCCACGAAAAAAGGGGCTGTGTTTTACGAAGATATCACTGCATTTCCTGACAGTATAGTGCCATGAAAAGTGGCTGGTTTTTTATCAGGACATTGCTGTATTTTCTGCTGGGACAGTGCCAGGAAAAGTGTTTCATTTTATCAAGATATTTCTGCATTTTTGGTCAGAATAGTGCCACAAAAAGCAGCTGTTTTTCACCAAGATATCACTGGGTTTTCTGCTGGGATAGTGCCACGAAAAGCGATAGTGTTTTACCAAGATATCACTGCATTTCCTGACAGTATAGTGCCATGAAAAACAGCTGTTTTTTAATCAAGAAATCTGGGTTTTCTACTGGGATAGTGCCACCAAGGTGGTTGTTTTTTACAGACACACCACTGCATTTTTCGCTTGGATAGTGTCACAAAAAGAGGCTGTATTTTACTCAGACATTGCTGCATTGTGTGCTGGGATAGTGCCATGAAAACCATCTGATTTTGTCAAGATATTTCTGCATTTTTGGCTCAGATAATGCCACAAAAAGCAGCTGTTTTTTTTACCAGACATCAATGCATTTTTTGCCAGGATAGTGCCATAAACAGCATTTTTTTTACCAAAATATCACTGTGTTCCCTACCAGGATAGTGCCATGAAAAGCAGTTGTATAACTGAGACATTGCCACATGTTCTCCTGGGATACTGCCACCAAAAGCAGCTGTTTTTTACAGAGACATCACTGACTTTTCTGACAGAATAGTGCCGCTGTGTTTCCCGCCATCATTGGGAAAAAGAAAATGAAAAGAGGGCATTTTAAGCCAAAACATGATCTTTTCCGAAACCATAAGATTTTTGTGCCGAAACCTAACCACATGTTAACCACACTGGAAAATATCCACTACATAGAAATGTAAAATGTAGCTGTGGTTTGCAGAAACGTACGACGCCAACATTTATCCTGGTGACTGGCTTTTGACCTGTTGCCTTTTCCAGACGCAAACAGCCTGACTTGATTTTCCCTTGATTCTTT